GTGACATACAGTAGCATTTTACAATTCAGCTATTGCAAGGCATGTAATATCTAAGAACATTGGAAAACAGTGGATGTGTGTCAGTGTTGTCGGGTACAAAATGAACGGAACAGAACTTTATTTCGTCTAGATCACAACGCGATACCCAAGAATCAATATACATGGTCTAAAAACACAATGGAAACAAAATTTTGTATTTTCCTAGGAACATTTGTGGAATTATTCTATCGTGCTTTGGAATCTCCAAACTTTGGATCTGTATCGAAGTAATTTTTTTAACTGCAAATCAAAAAGAATATCTGAAATTGTTTTTACAACTATAATAGCAAAGTAATAAAAAAGCTCTACTTGATATAGATTTTCTATCTTTTTCACAATTATACTTTTCCTAAAATAAATTCCCAAGTAATTGTAACAGTATATGATTTCGGATGGATCTTACATAACTTGATAATTGTTATTTTTTTCTTTTCGGCTATCAAATGCTAGAAATTTTCTGTTGCTTGCATGAAAAGTCTGTTTACATTTTATGCTGCTATCCTAAAGTAATTAATCTCTTTCACTTCAGCGGGAACAATTGGATTATTTGCATACAACATAATATTTATCGTAATATATTGACAGTACTTTTATTTGTGAAATCCAAATTAACATTTTTCCAATTTGGAGCACACCTAATTATCTAGGACGTATAAGTCCATACAAAATGAAACCAGTCGTGAAAGATTTTCCCCTTGAGTAACTCCATTACTGCATATAGCCTTGCCGGAAATGTTCTGCCATACGACTTCATGTTATTATATACTTCTAATAAAAAAAAATAAATTTAAATTATTTTGGCCATAAATCCGAGTCACCGGATTGTATAAAAAAAGCTACAGCTATAAATTTACAGTCAGGTATCTTGTTTTTCTAACATCGTAATATCCAGCATAACACGTGATAAAAAATCTTATCAGCAGTAAAACACAATTTACAAACGAAAAAGAATGTCTGATTTTTGTGAATTAGTCTTGATTAAAAACACGCGTAAAAACAAGAAAAACAAAGGATTGAAAACAGACAAAAATTGCACCGGTCTCCAGCGTTACCCTACTGCTTGTATATTTGCTGTGTAACACTGCTTAACCAATACTATGTTGACACACCATATTTAAATACAACATTAAAAATAATACATCAACCGGTTAACCCAAGGGTGTATGTTAACCATATGTTTAAATTTCTAATATTATCAAAGTCACTGGTTTTCCTGTTACTTCTTGTATTTTCTTACAATGTCGAATTTCCTCGATGGTAAATTATTTTTACATGCAATTAACTTATTATTAAGATTAAACAGTGATGTAATATCCGTAAAGTTTCGCGTAGAACTCTGATATATTGCAGTAGTACAGATTAACGTTTTAAAACACGATTATTTTAAATATTTCTGATACTCTTTGGATTTAATTTATCCATTTATTCGTAACTTCCTCAGAAATTTGAGTTTGTATTGACAAATTTATATATTCGTAATAAATCTCAAATGTGTACTCCTTTTAGTCGTTTTCCTTCCACCACTTTCCCTATGTAGGTTAAAACCGTTTCCTAACTAAATACACTATTTTCATACGAGTAGCATATCATTTTCTGAACTCGTTGATTTATGACGAATACTTTGCACTATTTTGGAAGGTCTTTGTTATTCTGTATGCTATAAGATCAACAAAATCTGCACCGGTCACGTCAGCTATAATTCCCGAACATAATATGCCTTGTGTATAACTTCAATCCCAATATGTTTTAAATGAAGCTGCACTTTTTACTATTTGCCAATCAGCATTATATTCATTATGCTTATACATACGTCAGCTTTGATCGCTATTTTTTCCTGATTAATTTAAGTACGAGATATTTTTTACACTGAATATCAACTTATAACGTATCAAATAATTTTATTGTAAAGTCCAGACTATAGCTTAATCCCGTTTCCTGTCATAATTGGTATCATATATGTTAGGATTTGCACGAGAAAAGGAAATTCCAAACAAGTGGCTATAATATTTGTCTCTCCACGAGGTTTTGTCGAGTGGGGAGACAAATAAGTTAACTTCGCGACTGGGGTTTTCTTGTCTTGGTACAAACACTGACACGTATTATTTTTCTCACCCATTTTTGCCAAGGAATAAAAAAAACCTGTACATTTGCAATGTAATTAATAGATTCGACACCTAAGGTTAATCTGGTACTATTATTGTCTCTCATTTTATATAAAGGTCATCAGGTCTTGCATTCTTTTATGAAATAGGAATAATTATATTAGTTGAATCTAGCTATATATGGCGTTCTATAAAAAAAAAATCCAGAAAAATAGTTTTTATTTTTACCTTTTGGAAGTAGTGCACAATGAGCGTCTGGAGAAACCTATTATTTGATCACCACTGCGCAATAATATGTTGACGAGGGCAGTGGGTAATCCGTCGACCCTAAGTACACAAATTCTACGCATGAGAAAATAGAAACATAAACAAACACAAACACTTTGATCCAATTACCGTATTATAACATTTGGTCGATGGGTATCACATGAATATATTTTTTTTTTATTTTGTTGTTGTTGGGCTTAACGCCATTTTTCAGCACAATAGGCTATTCATGGCGGCCAGTATTAATGGTGGAGGAAGAAACCGGGAAATCATCGGAAAGAACTACCGACCCACGAGAAGCTACTAGCAAGCTTTCTCCCATATCAACATTCGCGGAATCCTAGACTCAAACTCACGCAGATAGAGGTGAGCTGGCCGTGATCCGTAACGGACAGAGCCTTAGACCACTCGGCCACTCGCCCCCTCTTTTTTAAAAAAATAAATATAATTTATATCGATTATTTGTAACTTTCATCAGTTCTTACTTAAAAACATTTCTATGGTAGGCAATGGTACGATACAGAATAATACTGGTTAGTAATTGCAAGGAGATACGTATTGCATAGTTGTCTTGGAAATATATAATTTCTTTCATAGAAATCTGGAAAGTGTTGCAATTACTAGTGCAGTGATACGCTACATGGAAATATTTTTTTTTTTTTTTGTGGAATAGCGCTTGGACTGAAGCATGAACCCATTTCGATTGATAAAACTGAGAAGTTTTCATTTGCAAGCTGATTTACAGTACTTGATTTAAATGGGGTGGATTGATGTTGCTTGAAAAAGTTTGAAGAACGCAGATTTCAAATAAAACATTTGTGCTTGTTGGCAATTATGACGTCGATCTTTAATGGTCGAATTCCTACTATGACAATAGACTTTGTCTGTCTTTCTGTCTTTCTGTGCACATATATATATATATATATATATATATATATATATATATATATATATATATATATATATATATATATATATATATATATATATATATATATATATATATATATATATATATATATCCATCTATATATATATATATATATATATATAGATGGATATATATATATATATATATATATATATATATATATATATAGATATATATAGATATATATAACTATATATATATATATATATATATCTATATCTATATATATATATATATATATATATATATATATATATATATATATATATATATAGAGAGAGAGAGAGAGAGAGAGAGAGAGAGAGAGAGAGAAAGAGACAAACACACACACACACACACACACACACACACACACATATATATATATATATATATATATATATATATATATATATATATATATATATATATATATATATATATATATATATATATATATATAAAGCAATTTTAAAAATATTAGTATTTCACGCAAATCAGTCTATGACTGCCGCGTTCTTTAAAACAGTTTTGATTTTATTTTGTACTTGTTAATTTGGTTTTAACTTTGATAGATAAAGCTGTTTTGTGTTAACACATGACTGGTAGTTTTTGACCAAATGTTATATTTAAATATCCTAGACAAAATCTCCCTCCCAAGTGTGTGTGTGTGTGTGTGTGTGTGTGTGTGTGTGTGTGTGTGTGTGTGTGTGTGTGTGTGTGTGACCTATAATGGCACTATAAGTCCCAAGGATCCTAGTGTGAATGGAGCGTGAGTTTTACGGGTACTCCTCCTTTTGCTTTGGTATATCAAATTTTACTTTTATTTTGGTGGATTTCCTTTCTTAATCTAAACGTCTGTATTTTTATCTTTAAAGTTTGTTAGTACTGACTTTATGTCTTGCTTTGAGATACTCAAAAGTTTTTAGAAAGGCTGGCACACCTTGTTTTGTGCCGTGTAAGGTCTCCTAGAAATAAAAGTACTTTCACGTAATTTCATTTTCTGAATTTCTTCTAGTAATTAAACAGCATGTCTTTTTCATCCGTTTAAAACAGGTGATTTTGCTTGATCTAAGAATCTGGAACTGAACCACCAATTATTTATGTGATTGGCACCGGAAACAGTCGCCTTCATAGCAGCTTATGCTTGCTTTAGCTGCATCTTGATTACCTCCATTTTCTACGATTATTGTTTCTTTAATCTTAACCATGGTTAATAGGCTAGACTTGGGCCCATTTTGTGTCTGCTACTTGTTTTAATTTCTTTGATGCCTATGAATACACAGTACCACGGAATATGGCGGATCTATATTTAATAATCTGGAACATTCGTAACTGAATCAGATTTGCAAAATGTTCCACCCGCCATAACAAATACAATGTCTTATACCTTTCTTGTCATCTAAGTGTTGATTTCACACCACCGTCTGTATTTGTGTGTGTGTGTGTGTGATTTAGATTTTTAACGTAGCTTTAACAATTTTTCAGTCATATTGCTACGATGTATGCAGTGTGACATTTTATAGTGATTTCTTGCACTGGGGCATCATACCGCAGACATGTGGCATGATATCTCACCCAGTCACATTATCCTGACACCTGGCCAACCAGTCCTAAAACTAACCTCTTAATGCTGAGCGCCACGCGAGGTAGCTATTAGAGCCATTTTTTAAAGTCTTTAGTATTTCTCGGCTGGAGTTCGAACCCGCAACCTCCTGCATCCTAGGCGGACGCTCTAACCACTAGGCCACCGGAGCGGTTTCGTCGGTATGCATTAATTTCAATATCACTACAGAATGAGTTGCTACATATGCATTACTGTGATAACATTTGCACGATCTTTAGGTCACACGACATTATATCCTTTTTCTTTAAAGCCGTGTTCCAGTCCAAAACAGTTTGTTCTCGTTCACTTTAAGAATGAGGTACATCTATAATCAGTCATTGTTTCACAAGCGAATGCGACGGCTTGTGTAGATATTATTTTTTTTTTTGTCTTTTTATTTCTGTATTCTGGTTTAACTGCACCAGCCTAGTTGAAAAGTGCACCAAATGCAGCATTGTCATATGAATGATTTGTACTGTCACAATCTTTGGTCATGTTACGCACCAGTTTAAGTTTTTCTGACATGTCGTTCTTACTTTGTTCAGTCGTAACTTTATCTGCTTTCATTTGCATGTCGCTCCGAGCTGAAGTCCTGCATGGAATCCATGTTGATTGCAGACAAATCTAATTTGTCGGATGGAATATCCATGTACAATTTATGATTTAGATGAGATAAAGCGGAAGTTTACGCCATGTAGAATCAAATTTTAAATCAAGACCCACTTATCTTATTGATTGATGTGAACCCAGCATAATAGTGCAACTGTCGCATGATGTCGATGTGTTTTTTGCTTCGAACATTTTTATAAGTTTTTATTTAATATCATCATTCCATATTAAATAAAAAAGAACAAGTTTAATTTAAGCTTTGAATACTGCATAATGGAAATAGTATACGAACAATAACTTAGACTGCATGCTGGAATTAGTAAACAGGCAATTACTTAAACCACATTCATTTAGACTTCATATGAAAATATTATAGAACTATTATGTAGGCTAAAATATTGAAAATAGAATAATAACTATTTATTAGGCCGCATACTGAAAATAGTATAATATTTATTAAGCCACATAGTGGAAATAGTATACAAACTATTACTTAGACTTCAAATTGGAAATAGTATGCTAACTATTTATTAGGCTGCATTCTGAAAATTGTATACTATCTATTAGGCCACATAGTGGAAATAGTATACAAACTATTATTTAGACCACATACTGGAAATAGTATAGAACTTATTACTTAGACTGCATACTGGAAATAGTATAGAACTTGTTACCTAGACTGCATACTGGAAATAGTATAGAACTTATTACTTAGAATGAATACTGGAAATAGTATAGAACTTATTACTTAGACTGCAAACTGAAAATTGTATACTATGACTTAGACTGCACACTGGAAATATTATACTATTACTTGGGCCACATATTGGAAATAATATACTATTATTTAGATTGCATACTGAAAATAGTATACATTCTATTACTTTGCGTATTTGAAATAGTATACTATTACTTAGACGTTAAGCTAATCAATCTCTTTGTCAGTTTCATACTTATTAGCCATGTCTGTTATCAAATTGTCCTGTGTTGGATGTCTTTACAGAACACGCCTGACAGGTTGGTGCGAAGATACTTCGTTCTGCGGTCTTTATCTTTGGAAATTACTATGCCTTTGTTGAATGGAATAAGGGCTTCCTGGTATCGTGTATGTTGTTACCCTTTTTTCACCTTTGTTGTGACAGATAAAGATGTATGTGTTGGTGAGGGGTTTCGGGCTCAAGTTTATAATCATATGGACATACCTACATAGGTAAGGTATAATTTTATAGTTATTAAAAGTGCATATTTCCAGTCTGAATAAACCATTTCATGGAGACTTTTGCGAACTTCGTAATTTGCTAGGAATTTTGATCACGTGGCGGGTGGTCAGCTGACCGCAATATCCAATCGATAGCTGGTGGTCAAAACATGACGGACGCATCAGCATTAGCATCAACTTCAGCTTCGCTTATCGAGTTGAAAAATGACAATTCAACAGCGATGATACCATAGATACTGACAAAATATTGGAACCATCTTGTCTTATTTTCTGGAAATCAGGGCGGATTTTAAAGCCATACGAGAGAGTAGTTATGATCTGTTTACATCTGGACATGTACATGTGAGTATGAAAACGGTGTCGATGTTAAAAGTTTAATCCTTTTTTTATCATAACACCGTTTTACATAAATCAAGTTTTGCTTACCAATATAAGGAATTTTTCGTATTAATACGCAGTATAACAATCCTGGAATATCTTTCGACGGTAAAGCTGCAGAAGTCCCTTCACCATCAGCACTAAAATGCAGCGAACACATTCTCGCATTCTTGAATTGAGACATTCGTTTTCCGGTCAATTTAAGTTCCGATTTTCCTGCTCTTATGAGCCACTTTTTTGCACAACAAATCATCTTTCCATGGCAGACGATGGAATCTAATGCCACACCATCATCTTTCCATGGCAGACGATGGAATCTAATGCCACACCATTGATTGGAACTAGTTTTTCAACCTCTGACGTTACAAGCAGCGGACATTTATTAATTTGTTTTAATCTGATACTTCTAAACAACAATGTACGCCATGTTGTTATGTACATGTGCCCACCAGCGTTTGATTAGCTGGAGTATAAGGTGACTCGGGGAGTTTTTCGGATAATTACGGAGAAATTCGGTTAAATCCGGTATGAAATGGGCTATTGTCGTCGATGGAGATCAGACGGCTAAATAAGCAACAATCGTAAGGAGACCTAAGTGGCAAGGTTGCCATGATTCCAGTTTCCATCATTTTGGCGACCCCACCCATCCCCTCCTCCGGGATTATGCCCGGGTTCCCTGTTAGCACGGCATTTGGAAATCAACTCTTAAACAAGTTTTATATTATATGAAACTTAAAATTTTCTTCCATCGCTTTAATATTACTTTCTCCATATATATTACAAAATTACTAACATTACTAACTCTTTGAACGCTAGGCCCAATTAGGCCAAATCGTTCCAATCGGCCTATGGCTGGCCCTGTGTATACTTGAGGATGTGTAGATAACTTAGGTAGTTTGTCCTTCGAAATATATCTGAATATACATTTACATTTTAAATATTCATTTTGAATTTAATGACAAATGTGCATTGCATCCATTTTTTAGAAAAATACATTGCTAAATTTCATCTTGCAAATTGTGTCAAATATATAATTTTCATCGAACAAAATCATCAATGGTATTATTTCTGCTTTAATTTGAAATCGAGTGTTGTCGCGTATGTAACCGACACTGATTATATCTCTTTAGGGTTTAACGCCATTTCCCAGAGCCAGTTAACATGGCAGCCATTATAACTGGTGGAAGAAAACCTCGGGTTAACATCGGTACCAACCACCTATCTATGGGAAGCTTTCTCACATTGGCCAAGCCCAAAACTCAGAATCACGCGGACAGAAGTGAGATAGAAGTGTTCAGTAAAGGCGAGAGCTTTAGAACACTCGACCAATGATTGTTCAACATTGGTCTGGGGAACGCTTTGATCTATAGCTATATAGTTTATGGACTGACTTTAAAATGCCTCTCTTTTTGTCATTGGTAAAGTTTTGATTTGCCTGAGTCTGTCATTTTAAGATATTTTTGGAAAAATATAATTTTCATGCCTGAATGTAAATATGGTATCCATTTATTACTCTAGATATTTTTCCTTAAAGGAAATATTATCTCTGTAGATACAGAAACAAGGAGGCGTCGCATAATATTGTAACGGGTCTATGCTCTTAAAATAAGTAACAAAAAGAGATTGAAATACAACAATCTTTGTAAATTTTAAGAAATAAACTAATTTTTCTAGAAAAATGAAAATGAGAAAAAAAGCAAAGTACGGTAATGCGAATTAAATCTTCAAAATTTCCAAGAATTACAAACACAAGTCCTAGTAAATTAAAATCCTGAATAAAATTCAGTAAAAGTATATAAAATATCTTAAAACTGAAGTCGATGACGTGTCTGTAGTAGCTATTGAAGTGTTGATGTATCAACAGTCTTTTGTTCAATCACAGAAATATACTTCCAGGTTTAAATTTAGTATAAATTCCAGCGAATGTCTTTATCCAAAACATTTATAAGAGAACTTTTGTATTTCCAGAGAAAATAATCATTTTAATTCATTAAATTAAAAAAAGAGATTCCAGCCCAATACACCTGGTCACATCATACAGTACAACGTAAACTTGTTAGATGTTAAAGCACGAATAGTATAATAAATGTACTCATAACTAATATATGGCACCACATTTAATATAATGTTATTTAATGAGTACTTTATCTGTGTTTTGACAATAAATATAACTTTTCTCACCCATTCTGAAATACGTCAAAAATATTGTTTACTTAAAAGGAGCAATATGGAAAGACAGACATCTAAGTTTTCTAAGGATGGTCAATATAAATGGAAACAAAACCCTGTCTGATGGCATATCTATTCAAGTGCTAAGTGAAATAGGGTTACTACAAATGATATCATTAGGATAAAACTTAAACAAATCTTCCATAATTAAAGAAAATATTAATTAGATGCAAATGGTATGCTTTATGTATAAGATGTTTTTTTAAGTATAATTTATGCATTTGAAATATATTTAACACTTTTGACATCTCTTTCTCTACTTGTCTGGCTGTCTGTCATTGAATCAGCTCTTCTCCTACGATAAATTTTGAGAACCTGTTTTACTTTCCATCCTTGTATAATTACTTTAGTGCCTAATTCTGGCAAATTATTTTTCAGCCTTCATATTGAAGCACTGCATCTATTTGAAGTTCATACTTAGTATAAGATACAATCAAACATAAACGCCAGTCGCATAATACAAAAACAGACATTGATAATTCCACTGCAGTTTATCAAAATCATTTCTAAATAATTGATAAATAATTACATTTATATATTCACGTAGATCACTTTTGTCAAGTTAATTAGAATTCATGAGTTTATACAATTCTAAAAGAAAAAGAAGAGTCCAAATAATTTATATACTGTATATTCATGCCTCATAATTTAAACTGACTAATTATTTTGTTGCAGTTTTTAATTAAAACTGATAGCAAGATGATAGTTTCTCTTCA